TTAATATTTGAAAGAAATATCATTGCCTTTGAACCAAAGTCGAATACTGAAAAATCTTATGAAATTATAATGGATTTTGCCCATAGTGATAATGTACTAGTATATAAAAATCCAAAATAAATTAATGTTCCGTTCTGATCATGAAATTATCATGGATGTTGACTACATTGTATACTTTTGAACTCTTAATTTAAAGTATTAGATCAAGCATTTCTGGTGTTATTAGGCATTTTCACACTTAATATGAGTATAATATTAAGCATGTCGTTTTTTTACGCATTTTGACAAAGATGACGAGTGTATGACATCATTTATCAGACCATATCCAATCCTTCTAAGCTGTCTTTATAGAAACAATTATTCAACCCATTGGATGAAATATATTTGGGATAGCAACTGTAATTTCCATGTACACACTTGATGATTTTTTGAAATATTTGTTTTTATAAGTACACTTGTCTAAAGGCAATATAAAATGTCAACTGATAGATATGAGGGATGATTGCATATTTGCTTATTTAGTGTTTATTTAGTGTTTGATAAAATAAGTTTAAGTTTTATTAAACAATCTTATCAGCCTTGGTCATACATTGTAAATATGAAGTAAGCACTATAAAAAAAAATTTTTTTTTGTCGAAAACGAATACTAGAAGAATTCAGGAAGTTTTACTAAACTACCGTACATATGTGAATAAATACAGGTCCATAATGATCAAACAATAAGTTCGGCCTCTGAATGCTTGATTATTTTTTCAACACTTGTTTGTTTTTAAATATTTGATATTTGCATATGAATGACATAAAAATATCAAGTTGCAAATATCACTTTACCAGCTTTCAAATAATATGCAGTGCATTCAATTGGCGTGATGTACGATTTTTTTACCGACATAAAGAGTATTCATAGTATAAACATGTACATTCAAAAGATTTGTTATTTTTATGCTTTCAAATTATTTTGAAATTACATTGATTTATATTATTGTTTTTCTTTGTTTCAGAAATGCTTAAATCAAAATGATATTTATTCAATCAGTATCTTGCAATTAATTATAACGCATCCGTTTTTCGAAACTATAGAATACTTATATTTTTGAAACTGAAAATATCTCTTGGGCACTGTGTATTAGTACGATTTAACTGCCTGGTAAAGCACGGTGCAGCAAATTCCGTTATTAGGAATCAAACGGAAATGGTAACCATGATCAGTTCCAAGCCATGATCTAGTATTGAAACAGGATATTTTAAATATTTGAAAGAAATCGTTAACCTTATTATGGAAAACATTTGTATTCACCTGGCCATCCTTTTTATGTAACATCTTATTCACTTACACAAAATTAAGCAATTTCAAGCCGCTCATCTCACAAGAGTAAAGATTCAGATCTTTATATCCCTTTTTAATGTACTTCATTGTGTTGGCAATGTTCACCGTATCCACAAATGACGTCATCCAAGAGAGACAACTTGAATCCGGTCGTCTTTTGTACCATTAGTTTTCCATACTCCCTGTCCCTTCTACTCAGATGAAGGTTGATATAAGCCATATTTCGCCTTTCTTTTGCCCAGGTATTATCAGGTCAATGTGGTTGTTCAGCTTTTGCGCAAATATAGAACCGATTGAGATTACCTCACAGTGTTATTCTTAAACCACCACTAGTGGAGTTTAATAGAAAAAAAAAGAAAAAATATATTTTCCTTTCGCGATAAAACATTATTTTTATTTTCACCTGCTACGTTTGGGATTAAAACAATAAATTACATTTATTTTACGCAGTTAAATATCTTCACTTGATTCTACATGTTTGCTTAAACAAATAAAAATTTACGAATCATCGAGGGAACCTATTTGATTGTACATGTCATGTTTGCTTTTAAAACAAATATTTACTTTACCTACTGTATCATAATACTTCATATTCTTTCACGTATACCATCCAACAATAACCTTGAATTTTGTTTTATAGTTGAAATAGGTATACTTCTAACAAATAATTACAACACTTCTGCTAGAAGCTGCACGTCGTCCCTGAAAGGATAGTAGAGTTATTTCTTCGAGGATGGGTATAAAGCAAAATGCCCCTGAGCCATAAAAGGAGGATATCGAATGAGTGTAAGTTTAATACTGAATTTATTGAACGAGTTGAATAAAAGTATATTATGCTAGCCTCTGGCGGGCGTAATATGTTATAATCAATGAGTTCAATAAAGTTAGTATTGAAACTACACGAATATAATATTCCGTTAATCACTTGTCCAAAATAAGAACTGTTTACAGCTATAAAGAGTAATTTTTCATTGACGCGTATCGTTAACATCAGCACGCTTTAACGCTATGTTTGTATAATTATAACGCAAATGACGTCACTTCAAGATGTTATTTTACCAGTGTAATATCGTTTTTATTTGTTTGGGTCGTCAGACCAAACAAATAATGGTAGCGAAATTTCAGACTCTGATGCTGTTAATTGCAAATGCCGAAAGTAGTCCACTTTTTTGAAGCGGTTATTTCCTTTTATAAGTACACTAACGCCGAAAAATTCAGGGGAGATCACTGCGTAAAGATGGTCAAATGACAGGCGCATTAATTTTCAAGCAAAATAGTTCCCGAATGGTCGAATATTTCTAATATTGTTGTATTCTTTATAGATATACATGCTTATAGTAAGTTCCATGATTATTTACAACTGTGTTAAGTAATAGAAAGAGCACCGAAACAGGAGGCTATCTGATTTGTACGAGGGGGGGGGGGGCGTAGCACCCCCCCCCCCCGAGTATAAATCAGATTGCCGAGTGTTTTGGTGTTCTTTCTCTTTTGTATCATAGTCAAACATAAAAACACGTTCCCTGTTGTCACAATATGAAACCCCGGGAAAAAGTAACCAATGAACGAGCATCTAAATATGATATTTCTGTCGCTTTCCCTTTCTCTTCCGTCACAATAAGTAAACCCCAGCAAAAATGAGCCAATCAATGGGCATGCTCTGGAGTGCGGGTAACTAATACCTGCACTCAAGTTAACGCACTGTGCATGTATATATATACGATTTAACTCTGACACATTTTCAACAGAAAACTCCCCAAACTATGATACAATCAACAGTTAGCGTCGTTACAAACCCTAATTTAGAATAATATGGTTTCCTTCAGACAGATAACATATAACTTCACCGTGGCCGAGGGGTTTGCGCACTCGCTTAATAAGCGAGAGGTCTGCAGTTCGAAACCCAGTTAAGGTAGCTTATTTTTTTTCAAATTGTTCAAGTCAAATAAACATTGTCTTATAGCCAATTTACTACAATTTAAACGCTGGAAAGCATTGGTGGCACTATAAAAAAAAAATTGGTTTATAATCTCACAACCTTCACCTTTCTGACATTCTGGGACCCAAACAAATTCAGCGCCTTCTGTGCTTTGATTATCAAATGGCTTTATCAAACTCAAGCACCGTAGATAATGTGATAAAAGAACAATACGGATTAACTGATATATATATATATTATTTTCACATTAATATTATAGAAATATTGCAAAGTTAATCCTGAGCGTTTCATGATACGAAACCTTTTTTCACAGTAAAAACAATAAATCATCTAGAAAAATGGGGTGAGCGAATGATTTAAAATTTTGCACACATGTTATGTCTAGACTACATCAAATGGAACATAATCTCAAAAAATTAATTATTTCTAGTCCCATCATGTTAAAAGAACCTCAGTGGAGTCCCTTTAACTTCTCAATACTTCAAAAAAGGTAAGTCTTGCATTTAAAATCTGTTATATATTAATACTGAATGTCGCTATCCTAGGGCGGCGACAGATAAAAAAAAGAGAACAAATTTGCAAGGTTTTTTAACCGCCTGTAATCGATGTCGCCTGACTTGATTTTCTAAAATTCTCTTACAAATTGTAATGGCTGATTAAAATGTTTAGCTGTACAGAATGAGCTCCAAGTTAAAACCATAAAGATCAATTGTTTTTTTCGCTTTGTATGTTTGGCTTATGTATCCTTTATATGTTTAAGAAATAATATCGGTGTCAGTGGTGTTTATCGGCTATTTAACGCCGGTTTTGATGCGTAGGAATTGACCACGAACACCGTTTTTCATTGACGCGCCTCTTGTGTAACGCTATCATTAGCGCGCTTTTACATGTGTATATAGAGCGCTAGTGACGTCACGTCAAAGTGTTATTACACTATAATAGAGTGATATCGTTTTTATTAATATAAGGTAAACGAACGTTTTCCCGTGTTATAACGTCTGCAGAGTCCCGAGGAACGGTTGTTGTCCGAGTCCGGTAGGACGAGGCCTCAAACAGTTCCGAAGGACTCTGCAGACTGTATAACACCAAATAAACGTGTGTTGACGCTATTATAGCATAAAATGTTTAAACAGATGCTCAGAACCGAACGATATTTCGAATTTTGATTGATTTAACAAAGTTTAAAATTGGAGATTTATTAACTCAAGAAAAACAATAAATTTCTCTATCCAAGTCAAAACATGACCCTCAGAAATTCCTAGAATGATTTCAGATTGACGGTAGAAAAAAGATCAGTGACCTCAGAATTGTTTTTTTTTCAAGCACACAAGTTTATTAAAAAATAAGTATCAGGCACTAAAAATTATTCTCTGAAGGAAATATAAAGAGCATTCATCAATATAAACATCAATAAAACAACATTTTCTCATATTCATTTTGTGTTATCTTGTTTTGTAAGTTAATCGGAGGGTTAAACTGAATGACAGATATTTGTTTACATTGACAACTGTCCGTTTCTTACCAAGGGCGACAGCAGTATCGTTGAGATCCTAAAACAAAACATGTAAAAAATATTACTCTGATTTTGAAAAAAAAAAATGTATAGTCATTGAAAGCACTTGAAAAGTATTATGTCATATATATACTTTCAAGAGATGATTTATGATGTAGAAAGTGTACTCCAGTATTCTTATGTCATACGCCAATGAATATAAAGGCCTGTTATTTTAGATATAAGTTCTTATAAGCTTGACTACTTATCCATACTTTTTGTGGCATTCAAAATGAACGAAATTTCCAATTTTCGTTGATTATATTTTTTCTTGTTCTATTTTTTTCTAAAGCCGGGACACATACACATAATAGTAAACTAAGTAAGTTAATATCTTTAATTTCTATTTTATTTATTTATTTATTTATTTTTGATTTATTTATTTATTTATTTATTAATTTATTTATTTATTTATTTATTTATTTATTTATTTATTTATTTATTTATTTATTTATTCATTTATTATCAAAAGCTTTGTAGTGACACTTATGTAGTCAGAATCGGTTCAATTCTTAAATCTAGCTTATCCATTTTTAATTTGTTGTCTATGATTTCTTATGATTAATTTCATTACCGCTTAAATAAGTCGTGATTTCATTTGAAAATTATATATAATACTGATGATATATTTCCTAATTTTTTATTGCCAATATTCTATCCTTGCTTTCGTTAATTTATTCTCATATTTTGTTCATAAAATGATTGATTGATTGATTCATTCGAATAGTTTTTCTTGTATTCATTTATTTTATAAAAAGGCATATGTACATATGTAAAGCAGAATTTTGTATTTTCATTGATACATAGTTCTACCACAATAACTACCATTTAGATTTTTTTTCCAAATTCTACAATGCGTTTATATAACTGAACGCATCTTATCTTAACTTTACTTGACGCGCGCGCACGCACGCACGTTCGCGTGCACACACACACGCATACAGAAATGAAGAATTCACGATTTCAGTTTCATGAATTCCCGATTTCAACTTCACAAATTTACGATTTCATCTTCACGAATTCACGAATTCAATTTCATTTTTTGAATTTTCAACTTCGTGAACTTTCACATGTTCAACTCTTTAAAATTCGATTTCAACTTCATTGTAATTGAAATCGCGTGAATTTCGTAAAGTTACAAAAACCTTAGAATCCATGAAGTTTGAAATTCCGTGAATTCTTGTTGATTTAATTTTTGAATTTTCTTGAAAGTGAATTTTCGTGGTATTGTCCTTGAAATCGGGATAAAATAGACGTCAACATCACATCCGGAAAACTTTTTATACTCCTGGACATTATGAAATGAAAATTCGGAAAAGCGGCTGCAATGATAAAACGGTTAAAGTTTACGTTGCACGTCAATCATTGAAATAAATATTGTAAGTTCATTACTGAATCATCTGACTTAATTGTGTCCTTATTTAAACGAAAAAAAATGGATGTAAATCTATCCATAAGAATTTATATCATCAAACATATTCACAAATTCTCGTCTACAAATACATTCAACTTTTTATATGTGAATACTCATGTACAATGTATTTACATTCCATACTTACTTTTATCTTGATATGAAAGTAATTTAAGCAAGAAAAATAACCTAAGAGGGAAGAAATTGGGCCGAAAACATTTCAGTTTTTCTTATCAAAGGGACGTTTCGAAACTAAACCTCAAATTTTTAAAAAACAAAAACCCCACTTTTTGTTTTCCTTTGGGATGGCTTTTCCTTAGGGAAAAAGCCTTGGAGGGGCCCACTTTTGATTTTTCGATTTATGGGATTTTTTTTCCTTAAAGATTTTTTATTTAGGGACTTTTTTTTTTGCCCTTTTGATTTATGATTTTTTAATTTTTAAATTTTGGGATTTTTTTAAATTTCCCCAAAGGGTCCCTTGCCACTAAAAATTAAAATTTTTCCAAAAGGGAAAATATGGTGGAATATAAAACAACGATTCAGCCCGGGTAATTTCATTTACCTAAGTTTCCTGGAGACTTTTTTAAAAAAACAAAAAAAGGGGGGCTCTTATCAAAAACCAAAAAAAGAAAGATATTTTAAATTTCTTAAATAACCCTTTTAAAAATGATTAAGAAAAAAAAAAAGCTTGCGGGCATTGTTTTGCTTTTGGGTTTATCCATTTTTTTTTTTTGTTTTTTCCGAACGGGGGATAAGAAAAATTCTCAAATTGAAAAAAAAGGGCCGTATAAATTTAAAACCCGCTTTATTTTTATAGGGGTTCCCATTTTTTAAAATCCAAACCAGTCTCGCATTGTTTTTTTGCTGCAGAAAACAATCGGTTTTTTTTCCCGTCGTTTCATTTTTTCGTCCATCAAATTTATAGACCAAATTATAGGCCTTTTTTTAAACAAAGAAATTTTTTGGGTAAGAAGTTTAAAGAAACTGGTTTTCCCAAAAACAATAAATCTTTACAGCTTTAAAAATTCAAAACACTTTTGGGAAAAACCCCGCCCTAATTTAAAAAATCTCTAAAAGGGCCATTGTTATCAAAAAAATGCCTCTAATGGTTTCTAAACACCTATTTTAGCGATTCCCTTGAAACCCTTAGAGGTTGACATTCTAAGATTCAATGACCAAGTCTCGTTATGAGTGGAGCACAATTTGACATACTTATCCCCTTTTAAAGCTAAAATGTTTTGTCAGATGAGTTTATGAAAATAATGGTCCCATAAACCAGTTATGATATAATATTGAAACTTTATTCACCTTTTCAGTATCCAATAACTTAGCGTCACATTACCCCAGTTACAAAGTACATGTTATTTGTATAGTAACACTTTTGTATACCCAATTATGTAACTTTAATGGGAAATTTTTTGTACATGTATTCATTTTGTATATATAGTATTTGATTTCCCAATTTGAGGATACACCATACTTTTTAATGTTTTCAGTTTAAATTCTAGTAAAGGCTACCTTGCTAGGAATTTAAGTCACGTGCTGTCGAATGGTTTCAACTACCCCAAAAACCCGTTTGGGAAAGCATCAGCCAAAACCAATTTTTTTGTCAAGTTTTCGGGGGGCCAAATTTTTGAAAACTAAGAGGTTTATGGGAAAACAGGCTCCGGGGGGAAAGTTGTAAGTTTTAAACAAATGCCCCAAAAGTTTCCCAAAAACTTTGTGAAATTTGGGTTTTTTTTTTAATTGTTTTATGGAAAAATTCAGGGCCCTTTTTGGGGAAAACGTGCGGGTTTCCTTTTCAGACGCTTTGAAAATTTTTTAAGTTTTAAACCCCCTCACTTATTGTGGGGCCCCTTTATTTGGGAAAAACGCAATGTTTACGTTTCCCCCACGGTTTTATTTTATACTGTTCATACCCCCCAAAATGGTTTAAAAAAATTGTATCGATATTTCCCGGGTTTAAAGGGGAGACAGAGAAAAGGGTGAAAAATCATGAATTCATAATCTGGCTTTCATAATTTTCAGTATTTTGCCCATTTGTAAATCTTCTAAAACTTAAAAGAAATGTATCGAAATCAAACTTTGCATGTTCATATAGCTTGGCGAGGCAGAAAGAAACATAATTCTTGCTATCATAGCAACATTTTAGAAAGTCCCTTTTGTTGTTGATTTTTTTCTTCTTTTTTTTTCATACTAAGATTTTGTAAAACTCATAATTATCCCAAAAAACTGTTTTGGAGGCCATCCAATTTGAATTTACTGGCAGAATATATCTTCGGCGAAACAGAGTGCATTGTGTTGTTAACAAAACGTTTTGATTATAACATTTTTTTAATCGTTCTTCTATGTTATAACATTTTTTTAATCGTTCTTCTAAGTTAAACATTCCCTTTTTACGACATGCTGTTGGTTTGGGGGTATGCTCATGTACGAAAGACTATTGCATATTTTACATTACATATAAAAGGTCGGTTATTCTTCGAAAAGTTGACGTTATTTAACATTTTTCTTAAAGTTAACCTAGGAAAATTTTAAGCTAGAGACTGTGTTTTTTTTTTTTCTCCTTTTTAAACATTTAGAAATAAAGGGGAAATAACGTTTTTGCCAAATTGATTTTTTTAAAAATCTTTGACTGCAAATAATAATACAACGTACTCAGCGTTGCTAGTTTACCTAATTTTATTCTTAATGTTTTTAAAAGCTTCGTTAAGATCATCCATGGATTTTCTTAGCTTTACATCAGTAAACGTTATCAAACGAATGTGTTTTTTTTAGAAATTTGCATGTATATAAATTATTGTCGTCTGTGACGTAAATACTTGAATGTTTTTGTTGATAGCAGTGTTTATTTTTTAGCTGTTCCTAGTGTTAACTTTTTAAGTAAGGCATGTGTGCTATTTTAGAAAAATGCTTACCTCTGTATTTTTTATCTCTTTTTTTAAATTAAATATAATGAAGCTCAAATTCAGTTTGTTTTGCCTATCTAATACATTTGTTTTCTTATAAGACAACAATTTTGTTAAACAAAATAAAGCACGGTTGTAGAATAAAAAATGTCTGTTGTTATCTGTCTAAACGCGTTTAGTCCAAACAATTATTGATAGCTCTGCCAACCTGTCACGGTCTAGACCGTGAGGCAAAAACCTTTGGTAGTGTGGTCTCTCGGTAGAGGTTTATTTAGGTAGTCTGTTGAGGGAGTTGGCTGGTTCTACACAGTTTACTTCTATAGTGATTGCTATTCTATTTCCACTTTGCTCATTTCAACCTCTTACTTATAATTTTAATGAAACACTATCTCTACATAGATAAATAATTTCTCTGTAACATTTAAATACTGTTTATTCCGGTGGAAAATTGAAAGTTTATTTTGGTTAAAACAAAGTTTAAATAACACAATAATAAATTGTCAACAAATGAGGACAATGTATTTTTAATCATTCAGGACCAGATTTAATATGATAATGTAAAAAAGTACAAGTTTGAAGTAGAAATTATCAAAAAGTTTTCAAGTCATATTTGTGTCACAACCTTTTTTCTAAATTTTATTATATACCTCTAAATTTTCTTCCCAACGGATAGAAAATTCCGTATTATGTTTAGTGACAAAACGGAACCATATATGGAAATGTCGGAATTATTTTTGACATTGGTTCCGATCTTAGCTGTGTCTTACGTAGCATTAGGAAACGGGAACCAAAATTATAAGAGGCGTCGCCTGTTTTGCATAAATTACGTATTCATCCGTCAGTCATAAAGTTATTTCTTATTTTCTGAAATTTCTTATAGAAGTGTAGTTTAATGAAAATCATTTTTACTAAAAACGAAAAGGTATATAATAAAAGTAAAATTATGTTGTAGTAGCTTTCTGAGGCTATGCATTTTTCTACTTGCAACATTGTGTGAAATTG